CGCCATCCCCGCCCCGCCGGCCCCGCCCCGGAGGCCGGCACGCTGGCTCGCTCGCTGCCGGGGAACATGGCCGAAGTCGGGGAGGACAGTAGCGGGGCGCGGGCTCTGCTGGCGCTGCGCTCGGCGCCCTGCAGCCCCGCCGCCGCGCCCCCTCCCGGGCCGCCGCCCCCGGCCGCGCCGCCCGCCGCCTGCACCGGGCCGGTGCTGGCGCGGCTGCAGGGCCGCGAGTTCGAGTTCCTCATGCGGCAGCCGGCCGTCACCATAGGCCGCAACTCCTCACAGGGCTCCGTGGACGTCAACATGGGGCACTCCAGCTTCATCTCGCGGCGGCACCTGCAGCTCAGCTTCCAGGAGCCGCACTTCTACCTGCGCTGCCTCGGCAAGAACGGCGTCTTCGTGGACGGCGCCTTCCAGCGCCGCGGCGGCCCGGCCCTGCAGCTCCCGCCGCAGTGAGTGCCGGGGGCCGGGGGTGGCGGGGCCGGGCTCGCTCCGCAGGGCAGGAGCGGCCCCAGGGGCGGAGGGGGACCCTCTGTCCTGGGGAGGGGACGTGGGGCTGGGCGGAGCGGGGGCTTCTTCGAGGAGGGGACGGTGAGGGGTCCCCAGCCCCACGGAGCAGACGATGAGCTGCCCGTGTCCCATGCAGGGGATGTGTGTCTGCCAGGAGAAGGGCCTGTGGTGATGGTAGGGGGCCACAGCTGATGGAAGAAATAGGGGTCAAGGGTCTCCCTGCCCACCAGGGGTCTGAGAGGATGGTGAGGATCTGCCTCTGAAGAAGGTGGGGGGCTTGAGATAGCGATGAGGGATCCCCCTGCTCACAGAGAGCCTTAGGGGACAGTGAAGTTGGTCACAGTGGGTGAGGAACACTCACCTGGTGCAGGGCCTGAGGTGGTGGTGTGGGACATCTGCCTGAGAAAGTCCTCAGCATCAACATGGGATGTCCTCACCTTCCAGCCTTGCTGCGGTCCATGGCTGAGAAAGGGGATGGTGTTCATTGGGACTGGAGCTACTCCCTCTGGGGGAACCATGTCTGGGGAAAAGTGTGAGCCTCTGGCTACAGGATGTCCCCCATGGTCATCATCCTCCGTGCTTGCCTGCAGATAGACTCATGTTCAACTGGTGGCTCTTAAGGGTTTCAAAAAGACACAGAAGAAGGAAGGATTTTCAGTGGGTAGAAACTTGCTACGCCCAAGGTTTGTCTTCCTTGGAAAAGATCTAGCGGAAAAAGTTGGAAACCACTTTGCCAGAATTGCTTACTTAAGGGTTGGCAAGTTAGGTGTTGTTCCTGGTGTCTCTGGAGCAGCAGAAAAGGAGTCAGGCCAGGCTGGAGGTGATGCTGCTCACCAGGACAGCAGGTGCCCAAAGCATCTTTGCTTCCTTAAGGAAGGGGAGAGGAGTGCAGAAGGGTTTACTGTGCTTCCAGGTGCTCTGTTAAATTCTCTTGCAGAAGGAGGAAGGAGGTTGATGTTAACCCATTTCTTTTTCTGAAAACATTGTTTATAGTTGCTGAGTACTGTCCATCGACTGCAGTGCTTCACCCCCGGGCAGCAGAATGATATTGGTGGGTGATGTAATTCCTGGGTGCATCTCCTCAGGTTGTTCAGACTGACTGTGCCTAATGCCATCTCTGAGTGTGCTGTAAAGGCAGGAGGTTGGGAGGTTGTTGTTTGTATAAAACATCTGTTTTCATCTGTCATGTTTTGGCTTTGGTACTGTTAACCTCCAGCACCAGGGTCCTGGAGTTATCCCTCTCTCACCAGCCTGTCGCTCAGGGGAGGGTTTTTTAATTACTCATTTCCTCTGCAGGCTGCTTCATTTTGTACTTAGTAATTTCGTTATAGCTCCCTAGCTGCGCTCTCTCTTCGGCATTTTGGTTTCTAACGTGTTCATTTTCTAAAAGAGATGTCCTTTAGTGTCTGGTTAATTAATCTGGCTTTGTAAAACAAGACCACTCAAAGCCCTGGGCACTTCTGTTGTCATTCCTTCTGGCTCTGGTGTCTGTGCAAGCTCTCTCCTCCCTGTCATTCTGTTTCTTCACTTGATTAATCATAAGCATTGTGACAGAAAACTATGTCAAACAGCACCTTCGTTGCTTATTTCTCTCCCCTTTGCTCCTTGGAGCGGGAATGGCAACTTTCCTTCTGCATTGCTTTAAAGGGAGGAGTTTAATGTACACTTATGAACTCTACACAATAAGGCATCCTCGTAGCTTGGCTGCTGTTTGAGCTACATAAATAAACTTGGTGCTCCTCCCTTTCTGACTTCCAGAGTAGGAAAATGTTTTGCATCAATCTAAAGGAATTTGCCCCCTTGCTTCTGTCAGGTAAACAACTCCTTACTGGCCAGTCAAGGGTTTGTAACCCAGACCAGGAAAAAGAAAATCTTGTTGAAGCTTGGTGTACACAGTCTTGATTGAGGCTTGAAACTGTCTGCTGTTATCTCGTTATCTCCACTCTTGAAAAATCAGACAGTTCTCTCCCAGTCACCCTCTACACACACACACACACACACACACAAATCTCTCCCCAGTAAACATAAAGTGCCATTTCTTTCCTGTAGAGAAGCCTGTGTGCTTACTGCCAGCTAATGTTGTCAGAAGGAGGACAAAGTGAGGACAGGTTGTAGTACACATACACAATGTTTTCTGCATATTATGGTAACACTCCTGCTGTGTTTGGTAAAGCCACACCTTTTCCGTGTACCAGCAGAATGTACAGTTTATGTTAAATTTCAGGAATTAGTGATCCTTCCATCCAGTGTTTTAGAGGGAGGTCCTTGTGATGTGGGGAGCTCTTGCTGGTAATATTCTAAAACCAGTTGTTTGAGTGGTTGTCCTCCGTTTTCCCTCCACACCTGTAAAGGATGGCAGAAATGGGCAAAGTGCTGTTTTCTTTGGACCACTGCAGTCACTGCTGCTGTTACATTACAAGCAAATACATTACAAAAGGAAATGCTTGTGCATCATGAGATCATGAATGGAGCAGAGGGTTCCAGGAAAAAGTGTCTTTCAGTTGTAGTTCATACTATTCGTTAAAAAATAGATGATGAACTCATAAATTCTGTTTTCTGAGGTTTCTTCTCACTTCACTATTTCTGTATAGAACTTCTCTTTGCTAAGTTTAGAAGTAATTCCTGAAATGTACAGAGGATCTTGTCAGGAGGGATGGGAGGAAAGAGGGGGAGTTTGAGACCTCTCTTGAAGGCTGTACTTACCTCCTGTCTCAACAGCCCTACTCAAAATCAAGGGCTTTTGAAAAGCTTTGTATCACTTCCTCCATCAACGTGGTGTGTGTGGATTCTCTGCTGTAACCAGGATTTTACTGCTGGGCAGGAGTATCATATTCCACAGCTGTGTTGTTATGGGAGGTTGTATTTCACAGATGTGATGACATAACTATACAGTATAATTAAACAGTAATAACCAACAAAGAGGACATTTCCTAGAGGTTAATGACAGTTAGGAACAAAGTGGGTGGAAGAGTGGAGGACCTATGGTACAGCTGAAGATCCTTAATCAGTTTAATTAATAAGTGCTACACTACAGCAGACATTACAAATATAAATCAAGATGAAATGATGGAAGTACTTACATCAAAAATAAGTGCTTCAAATCAAATTAAGGATTTGCTAGAAACTGTTTTTATAGCTTGTGGTGTTTTTTTAGCTGTGCTGGTAGAAGCTGGAAATCTGTAGATAAATATCTGGGTATTTTTCTATACGAGAGAGAGGAAGTCAAAACTACCAGGAGAATACGCACTAGATTTTAAAAACTCTTGATACCAGCAAAAGTGTAAGAGCAGGAACCATTAACTGGAGTATTTTTTTCCTCTTGAAGACAGTAATTTCTTCAAATTTATGGTGTAATCAGATGTTTACAGGATCACCTTAATGATGAATTATTAACTTTTTCTTTATTGTCTTCAAAACTGACTCAGTTTTAAAAATAATTTGCAATAGCAAGCTAGGCACCTCCAGTAACTAAAATAAGCATTTGTTTAGTTATTTATTTATTATGTTCCCCAGAACAGAAGGAACTGTAACAGTTGAAAGTTAAACTTGCTAACCTGAATTTTAAGTAGCTATGAGTCAGGTCTTCAGATGCTCCTAAACACAAAAGTTCTATTGACTAAACCTGCAAATGTTGCTTGAGCATAGCCTGATAATAGCACTTGAGCTTTTTGAACTGTAAGCTCAATAGATTGGAAAATGATGCTTGTCTGGGAACGTTTCATGGGATATTTGCTTATTGCTTCTGTGGCCATTTAGAATTTTTGCAGTAGCATAATTAATGGAGCCTGAAGTTGGTGTTTTTCAGTGTAAATGGGTTCTTTCAGTATGAGGTTTCTAAGCATAAAAACAAGTTTTTAAACCTGTAGTTCTTTTAGCATTTAGGAAATAAATGGAGGAGCTTTTTTAGCTTGAGAATAAATACAAGGGAAGTGAATATATGGATGCATGAAATCAAATTAAATCATAGAGTTAAAATAAAAAAATATGTATATAAGCACCATTATAAATTGAAAACTTAGCATGCATGTCAAGTTTTATTAAGAGCATGCTGCTTTATTTATAATGGGATTTTTCTAGGTACTCAATAAACTTGACAAAAATAAATAGTCCAATACTCTGACCACACACCAAGGTGCTGATCCTGCAGAATTTTACACGTGCATTAATCTTTCCATATTGTGAGTACACAAGTTCCCTTTGGTGTTTGGGTAGTGGGGGTGTCTCAGCAACAGTGGGGATTTAGCAATCAGAAAATGCAGAATTAGATCCAGTTTCTAAGGGATGTGGCTATGCAGTCTGATAGCCAGAAACTCAAGGTACTAATTCAAGTTTAAAAAAATGCTGTCTTCTAGAAAAACGGAGATACGCACAATGCACTGCAGTGTTTTGGTGACCTCACCAAGCACTCAAGCTCCGTTCTCGTGGTTGGAGTGATGCCATCACGGTGGGTACGAGGGAGGGTGTCCTTACATCTGGGGGCAGCTGCACACCCTGTGTACACACACTAAGGAAATGCTTTGACCACATAACCACGACTGCAGAACTAGTTGTTTCTGAAATGCTGCATATGTATGTTGTCTCTGGTAACTCCTCAGGTAGTTTTGCTTCTTAAATATTGCATTATCTGCATTTGCAACTATTTTTTTTTGTTGTTCTTTGTTTGAAATATGTTGTGTGCTGTGCTACAGCTTGTGGATGGTGGTTTTTATTCTTGCTAGAAACCCTTTCAAGATTTGCTTTCTTAGTGCTTCATCTTGTATTTTTCATGCTCTTACTTAATTTCAAAGGCTGTCTGAGAACAGGTTTTTTTGTTGCACAGCAAGATGTGATAAAGGATTACCTGATTTTAATTATGGAATTTATGTCAAGTAGTAATTTTTGGCTAAGCAGCTCAATTTGTCATTAGTTATATTAAACATTTAAGGAAAAGTTTCTCTCATGT